CGCCCGCCCCTCACACCGCCCGCCCGCCCGCCGCTCGCACCAACCGCCGCGCGCGCCCGCCCCTCGCACCGCCCGCCGCTCGCACCGCCTGCTGCGCGCGCCCGCCGCTCGCACTGCCCGCCGCTCTCCCGGGCTCCGCTCGCACCGCCCGGGCGATTCCGAAAAAAATCGGAATTCCGATTTTAATCGGAAAAATATCATGCCTGTCACAGTAGCACGGGACTAACCCCCCTTCAAAGTAGTGAGCGGTATGGACTTCGTCCCAATGCCTGAATATCCAAGGGATCCCCCACTCCTCAGTCAGCCTGACTGATTGGATGTCAACACTGAAAGCAACTTGGGAGAATGTTAAAAAAGCGCTGGCAAAAGCAGCACAGAGCTATAAGAGACAGGCAAACAATGAGCCCCACAATGGCCATTCCAGGTGGGGGAGAAGGTCTACCTTTCCACTAAATACCTGAGGTTAAGACTCCCTTGCAAGAAATTGGAGCCAAAGTTCATGGGACCATTTCCCATAATAAAGGCCATCAACCCAGTCATGGTGCAACTGAAGTTGCCTCAATTGTTAGGGAAAATACACCCAATATTCCATAGCAGCCTCTTAAAACCCATGGTGGAATCTTATCATGAGGCCCCTACCTCATGACCCCCCAGGCCCCGTAGTCATAGGCCGATTCGAGGTGGCACAGGAGACAACTCCAATATTTGATCAAGTGGAAGGGCTTATCAGAGGCATCTTGGGTAAAGAGTAGGAACATCCAAGCCGATCGTCTTGTGACAAAGTTCCATGCAGAAACCCCAACCAAGCCTTGGGAGGTTTTTTTTTTTTTTTTGCAACCCTAAGTCCTATACCTGCAATACATTTTTTTTGGGGGGGGGGGGTTGTGTTGTACAGGTTACCTTCAAGAAGTGAGGGGAGCTGAATGTCAATTCATAAAATATTTCTATGGTCTTTTTAGAGTTGCCAACAGAAAAGGGGGAGATCAGTGGGCAGCTTACATTCCCATAAATGTTTTCAAAGGTTAGTTTCTAGGTGACCAAAATTTCTGCCGCGCAAAATTCTAACTGGAGAGTAGGATTGATGACTCTTGGCTATGGATGTGTTCCATTGGAAAATATGAATTATGATACACCCAGGAGGTGGGGGAATACCAGGGTCAAGGATGATAATGATGTGTCTCAGAGTCGGCTACACCCAGGCAGCACCAGCATGTTTACTCCTAATAAATATTTTAAGTTTTGGATGTTCAGCTAGAGACTCATGATTTAAATGGAGGTGACTGCTGGAGCCCTGACAATATTGCAGTTTTTTTAGCTATCAATGTACTTGCTATCAATGCCTGTTTGTCTGCAAACAGTAGTTTGTTGATATTATTTCCATTCTTTGCTTATGTTGTAAATATAGGTGATAAACAATAATGGTGATAGTACAAATGCCTGTTTTACTCTGGGTATTACTGTGAAGAGTTCTGATATTCCTTGGTTTGTTCTGACTACACAATAAAGCTTCTATATAAGCTTTTGCATACTATATAAGCTTTTGCATACTTTAATAAGATGTTCACTTCAGTGGTGTGATTCAAAAAGTTTTACCACCGGTTTGGTGGGTATGGCTAGGTGGCGCGCTTTGCGCATGTGCACACACTTTGCGTGCACACAGCGCACCAAACACACACTTTACACAGGCACAGAGGCGTTCCAACTCACCTCCTGCAAGCCTGCACTCTCCCAGTCTCTTCAGCAGCTGCCGTGCGGCACTCTGCTGTGCCACCTAAAGCAGCTGCGCTTCAAAAACAGAGGATAAAGGTGAGTATGGGAGCCCAGGCGGACGGGTGGGCCCAACAGCAGAGTGGTGGAGAGAACCAGTTCGGTCTCCGCTGCTCATTGCTGCTACCGGCTCGGTAGAACCGTGTCAAACCAGTAGAATACCACCACTGGTTCACTTCATATTGGGTCAGTGTTTGTCCTAACATTTTCCTATGAACTCTATCAAATGTTTTCTCTTAATCTACAAATGCGACAAAGAGTTTTTTTTTATTGTATTCCATGTTCTTTTCTATTAGTTTAAGCACAAAAATTGCATTGGTACAGCTTCTACATGAAATACATAACTGCGTAAAATACATAACATTAATTCTTTTACTTTCATATGAACTTTATATAGGAAATATATCTATAGATTTAGTTAGCTTAGCATGCTCACTGCTACATAACAAGCACCAGTGTGTAAGCAGAAGACATAGGATTTAATAAACTCCTTTCTATAAGAAATATTATTTCTGAATGTATAATATGTTTTTGCAAAGTAACATGATAAAATACATTCAGAATGGCCTCATTATGCTTACAGAAGACCAACAACACCAACCATTTTTCCACAATGATACAATTCTGAAGTCTCATTATACCAAGCTGTGACAAAATCACCTAAAAATAAAAGTACCGCAACTTCTTTGGTGTCAGCATACTTTATGTCCATGTATACTTCTTTATATGAAAGTTAATGCACAAAACAAAACTCTTGTCTTAGAATTAGTTTTCAGGCTCTGTATTTTAAAAAAAATGCATTTCACTAGCCACACAGGAACTGCACACTTAAAACGAGATACTTTTCCTCAGGAATGTACAGAAACATTTAATCCAACCATGCAGTCTGATATATAAGTAGTTTAATGCTGTGTCCATTTAATGCTCTTCAAATCAATTCCGTCCTGTACCATCTCCCACAGTGGACTGTAAAATAAGAAAAATTAAATTTCAGTTTCTCAGAACTATAAATTATATTTGTCATAAGACAAATAATCCTTTCCCCCTCAAACAGCTGCTGACAGATACAGCAAAGGTACCTGTGATGGATCCATAATACCACATAGCTACTATTAGTATAATTCTAATGACACAGCATACATTACCAGCTGTACGTAACAGCTATTTAAATTAGCTACATAGATCTGATCATTTCACAGCAGACACAGCTGAAGAACACAACAAATAATCTAATTCTCTTCACAATCTTTATCCAAATTTAATTTTAAATGAATAAAAATACTATTTTTAATAAAAATATTTACCTCATTTCTCTTAATCTTTTCACATGTTGTATGCATTTATTTACAGTATAATCTACTTCTTCTTCAGTAGTAAAACGTCCAATTCCGAATCTGAAATAAAATAAAACACAAATCAAGCACAAAACATATATACAAAGATGACAAACAATTTTCCTTTTATCACAATAACGCTTACCTTATGGATGAATGAGCCAAATCTTCATCTGTTCCAATAGCACGCAATACGTATGACGGTTCCAAAGATGCAGATGTACAAGCACTATCAAGAAAAGAATATATTTGTTTTAATGCAAAGCAAGAGTAGGCATGAAAAGAGCAGGTTATGGTTTGCTATACTCTGAATATACCTCCTTTATAACTTTCATCATACTTTGGATAACCTAGTTCTAATGAAAGTGGCATGAAATCCTCTCCAAAAAGAGGATTTATTTTGCAAAATCAATGAAGGAATGGAGAAGGAAAAGAAAAGAAAGAAATAAGACCCAAATATAAGACAATGTAGTCAAGAGGATTACATGTGAACTGGATCATTGGAAGCATCTCTTGAATTCATTTGCATGTTCAAATTATTAAAATAACTGAGAAGAAAAAAGATTAAAAGCAAAAAGAATTAACTGATGGATTCCGTTCTCAATAGTCAAACCTTATTGCTAGCTTCTCCAATTTAGTGCATATTTACAGATTTTAAAAAGGAACCTGAAATTATAACTTTTTTAAAAAAAGAAATGATTGGAAGCCAGTCAATGCCATTCCTAATCAAAAAGGTTATTCTGAAAAAACTGATTACAGGCTCAGCCTAGATTTTTAGTGTTACATGCCTCTTTTATTCTGATTTTCTTTCAAATTCCAATTTCTTTGGGAATTCCAAGCAGTCTTTTCTTTAGAAACAGATTAGGCTGAATCATGTGCCATTTTACATATAAAGTTATACCTTCCAGAAGAGAGTGCCACATCTTTCAGGGCCATCAGCAAGCTTTCCCCTTCCACATATGCAAATGATAAATTGATGCAGCCTGCATTGTTAACAGAGCAAAATCAGATTATTTAATAGTCTTAAACAACTTAAACAACAATTTTCCGTTTTTAGAACTATTCTTTACAAGAATCTTAGTTTATCTTCCAAAGTGCTGTTCAGCAGTTATGAAAATTAATGCAGTTATATATTCAAGCAGTCTGTTATACTGCAGCTGTCATTATAAGACACTTAGAGCCATTATGAAGATGGCAATGAAGGGGACACAGAAAAAAAGAAAGAAGATTTTCCTTGACTATAAGAGGACTCTTCTCTGCTCCTTGTTTCCACACATTGGAGTTATTCTAGCACCCTTTTATAAGTAATTTTTGGATATAAAACATAATTAAAATAATGTACAATCCATAAATCATTGGACATTACAGACCAACTGCCACTTAGTATTAAATATTACTACAGAATTATATTTCAATATCAAATATCCCACAAATTACCAGTTGGAATTACTTAATTCTAATTAATACCTTAAATAGACAACCATGATGTGATAATGGACCAATCTATGTTTTAACTCTGATGTTACAATTTTATCTCTCAATTTGCCACACACACACAAACATAGTGTCTTCACTGAAGTGAAACTATAAGGAATGAGAATTTTATTACTTCACAGTAGTCTTTTGGGGTTATGGATTGCATGGAACTATTATGCAGTTAGTTATGTTCAATTCTAAAACAGTTATTTTGTTCTAGATATATATTGTAAGTCAGATTTCAGAGGAATGTTACAAAAATGCTTTTAAATGTATATGTGTGTGTGTGTGTGTAGTGAATAACTGAATGACAAAGGTCTACATTCTGCTAATTATACCTGGATAACGATCCATTGGGTCTCCATTCATTACAACTTCAGGAATTTCTGATATTATTTTTGTGATTAGCCTATCAGCTAATAAGCTAATTCGTTTATGGTCATACTAGAAAAGAAACAAAAACTGATTAATTTATTACAATGGATTTGAACTTTGACCAGTTTAATCTAATTGCCTCATTAATCATTTTTAGTTTTATTAAACAGGACTAGAAAACAGAACACACTAACACCATCAAAACTTAGAAATAATAAGACATGTTTTTTCATCAAAGTTCATACATATATTAACCATAAAAGTGTTATTAATGTATTATTACTTTATATATGCCTTGCTAAATGACAATAATTGGAACTGGAATTTCCATCACTAAGCAATTCAGTTGAAAAGCACAATGTCATGTCACTGCATCACATAGTGACAGCAATTCTCAGTGACCTCAATTGCTATTGTTAAACAAGGATTGTGGGTCATTATTTCTTTCTTTATTAAATGCATATACTGCTCAGAGTTGCTTGATAGCGAGATGGGCAGCATATACACTTAATCAATAAAACAATCAATTAAGTATTTCACATGACCACAAATTGTGACTTACTGCTGGCTTCCGACAAGCAAAGGCAATGGAAAACCTGACAAGAAGTTGCAGGTCCCAGTCACAACAAACCATTCCTTAGGTGGTTCGCAAACAAGCTGGTGGGTGCTGTAGCCTGGTCCAATTGTGGCTGGGCAGGAATCTGCATGTTTTAAAGTGTGAGTAAGTGCACAGGTGGATGCTATGGCCCAGGATGAACCTCACTGGGTGAGGAATGGAAAGCAAGCAATGATTGCTCTGGGCAGGCATGTGCTACTGAGTACAAGATCCCCAGGATCTCATACTTCCATACTGGGGACCCTTAAGAAAATGTGATGGGAGTGGGAGCAAACTGCAACATTACCTGCCGGTTTCCCCATTGACTTTATGGGATGCTGCAATTGTTGTAAGGGCTAGTCAATTACCAAGCATTCGAACTGCGATCACATGACTTCAGGATTGCTGTGCCGGCCGCAGCTTCAAGAACCAGTTTGTAAGTACCACTCATTCAGCAGCATCATAACTTTCAATTGTCACTGAATGAGTGGTTGTTAACTGAGAATTACATGTATGTCTTTTGCTTCTGCGTAATAAAGACGACCCAAAGAGCAATGTAAATATAAATGTTGATTTATTTAGAGTTGTTATGTGAGCAAAACAGAGACACCGATTAAAAAAAGAAAAAAAAAGAAAAAATCCAATAGAATTTGCCTCAATACTGGTGATTACAAAGCAATAGCACTTAGACTTACATACCGCTTTACAATGTTTTACAGCCCTCTCTAAGCAGTTTACAGAGTCAGCATATTGACCCCAATAATCTGGCTCCTCATTTTACCGACCTCAGAAGGATAGAAGGCTGAGTCAACTTTGAACCTGGCGGGATTCGAACTGCCAAATTGCAGGCAGTTAGCAGTCAGCAGAAGTAGCCTGCAGTACTGCACTCTAACCACTACACCACCAAGGCTCAAAAAATGTCAAACCTGTCAAAGATATATTAAATCCAATTCCAGATCACCACATAATAATATTATAGACATTCAATTTAAATCATTATGCTATGAATATCTCAAAAACAAAAACAGTCCAAAATATGCTATGGATAGACTACATGGGTAATGTTCAATATATGACCATAGTGGAGCCTGCCCACTATGATTGGATGTCATGATGGTCATAAAATGGATAAGTCCCGTGACTGGCCTATTTTACAACTTTTTTGCAGCAGTGATTAAGTGAAGATGGCAATTGTAAGTGTGAACCCATTGTTCGCTATGGACAGAGTTTTTCCAAAAGCCAGAAGTAAGTGCCATGGGACACTGCAAATAGCTGTAAATACAGCCATGTTGCTGTGTGTCCAAAGTGTGGTCATGTGATAGAACATAGAATAACAGAGTTGGAAGGGACCTTGGAGGTCATCTAGTCAACCCCCTGCTCAAACAGGAGAGTCCAGCCTCTACCTGGGATCGAACTCACAGCCTTCTGATTGTGAGGCGAGAGCTCCACTGCTAGGCCACCGGAGCTGGTTCATGGGGCGATTGTTAGAAAATCAGATATGGGTCATAAGTCCTTTCTTCTGGCTAGGTTGTAACTTCAAATTGTAACTAAATGACTAGTTGTAAATCAAGGACTACCCATACAGAGAAATTGAATCTCAATTTTTACCTCCATTTCTTGCTGTGCCAATTCACAAGCTGCCCCAAGGCCAACTACTAATGGAGTTGGCACAGTTCCAGAACGTAATCCTCGCTCTTGACCTCCTCCGCTTTGTATAGGTTCTACTCTTACTCTTGGTCGCCGCCGGACATAAATTGCACCAACCCCTTAAACACAAAAATATTTTTTGTTCAATTCAAGATATTTCAGGGGCTTACAAATACACA